TGCACGAATTTGTGCATTGGGCCTCTAGTTCAATAATAAGACAAATAACCAAATTTCAAAGTTGTCAAAGTTTTGCTATACACATTTCTCTAATCAGGCTATATGCATGCTTAATGGCATATGAAAATAGGCTAATATAAAAAATATGCTATGGCTTTATGCAAAGTGCAAATTAAGTTGACAAGGAGAGACCCCTTCATCCCTACTAGGATGGTTATAAAAAAGACAGATGAGCCTGGCAGGTGTGACTCACTGGATGAGCATTGACCTGTGAACCAGGAGGTTATGGTTTGATTCCTGGTCAGGACACATGCCCGGGTTGCGGGCTTGATCCCCCATAGGGAGCATGCAGGAGGCATCTGATCAATGATTCCCTCTCAGCATTGATTCTTCTATTTCTCCCTCTCCCATCCGCTCTGAAATCAATAAAAAATATTATAAATAGAGCGACAGATGACAACAAGTATTAGCAATGTTGTGGAGAACTTGGATCTCTCATATACAGCTGATGGGGATGTAAAATGGTGCAACTTCTTTGAATATCAGTTTGCAGTTCCTCATAGAGTTACCATATAACTCAGCAATTCTATTTCTAGATTTATGCTTGAAAAGAAATTAAAACAGGTTCACACAAAACATGTGTGGAAATGTTCATAATAGCAAACTGTGGAAACAACCAAAGTGTTCATGAACTGATCAATGGGCAAATAAATGAAGTATATCCATACATAGACTGTTGGGGACAACAAAGGGGCTCTGTAATAAATCAAACAAAAAATAACCTCACAGGATGATCTGATCCTAAAATTCTTAACTGGTAAGGTCATGGTGGGTAGTCATGCCTCATGCTTGTAAAAAGTTTTATCTGTGACTTAAGCAATCCCTGTCTGTTGTTTTTGTGCATCTATGTTAATAGACCTTTAAAATGTCAGATTAGTCCTCTTTTTCAGACTCCTCAGAGGCATAACTACCCTCAAGGGAGCACATAATCTTATCAACTATTGTGTAATCTTCCTTATGCTACCTCCTCAATTCCAAATGTATAAAAGAAACTGCAAAACAGCCATTCTCAGGAGCATTTGCTTCCTGGCATGTTGACTGTTTTGTTCAAATAACCTCATGCAAAAATTGAGGTTAGTTGCTGTGGTTCAGTTGGTTGGCCATCATCCTCTGCACTGGGGAGGGGGGGGGGTTGCTGGTTTAATTCCCCATCAGGTCACATGCCCAGGTTGTGGGCTTGATCCCCAGTAGGGATCAGCAGGAGGCAGCTGATCAATGTTGCTCTCATATCGATGTCTCTCCCTCTTTCCCTCTCTCTCTTAAAAATAAATCTTTAAAATTCTCTATGGGTTTGAACATTTCTTATGTTGACACTATTACTCAGCAATAGAAAGCTATCGCATGCATGAAACTCAAAAATATGCTAAGTGAAAGAAGCCACTTGCAAATATCATATTCTATTTGTCTGAAAATATCCAGAATATGGTAATTTATAGAATAGAGAGTAGTTTAATGGTTGTTGAGATTTCATTTTGGTCTGGTGAAAATTTCCTAATTTTAGATTATATTTACAATTTCATAACTCTATAACATACTACCTATATTTGATGTTTCTATATTAAACATTGAATTTTATGATATGTAAAATATATATTACTAGAGGCCCAGTGCACGAATTCATGCATGGGTGAGTTGATCCAATGGTGGCCCTCTCGCTCAGTCCTGATCAGGGAAGGGCTGGCCTGGGGGACGGACTGCAGGAGGTTGGCTGGCCACAGGAGGTTGGCTGTGGGATTGCACTCACCACCTGGAGGCAGCTCCTGCATTGAGTGTCTGCCCTCTGGGGGTCAGTGTGCATAATAACGACCAGTTGACTGGTTGACTGGTCATAATGGTCACTTAGGCATTTATATATATAGATTGTAAAATATGTTAAAATAATGATAATAAAAATCATTTTTTTAAAGTAGATAGTTATTGTCAATGTAAGAACATCCCAACCTATAGAGAATTTTTATGAGTTTATTTGAACCAAACTAATGACTAATGCTGGGAGCAAGATATCAAATGCCCCTAAGAATAACAGTTTTGTAGCTGCTTTTATGCATTTGAGATTAAGTGGAAAACAAAGTAACATTACATGAAGTTGGATAAAGCAAAGCAGGGATTGGATTACAGGGTACAGTTAAGATTTTGTGCTCTTTTGAGAGTTAATTCCCCCCCTCCTTTAAAAAAATTTTTTTATTGATTTCAGAGAGGAAGGGCGAGTGAGAGAGATAGAAGCATCAATGACAAGAGAGAATCATTGATCAGCTGCCTCCCGCACCCTCCTACCCAACCCCCACTGGGTACCAAGCTCACAACCGGCAACCCAGCATGTGCCCCGACTGGGAATCAAACCGTGACTTCCTGGTTTACAGTTCAATGCTCAACCACAGAGCCATGGCAGCCAGGCAGTGCCACTTTTGAGGGGTATTATTTCAGGTGTTTTAAAGTAGTATTAACCTAGATGCACAAGAACAATGGGCAGGGCTGGTGTAAAAACTTTCAGTTAATAAGTTACAGGCCTGGAGCATGTCTACTCATCATGACCTGCTTAGTTAAGAATTTATGATCAGATCACCCTGTGAGGTACTTTCCATGGAAACCCCCTTTTTGTCCACAAGATTTATAGTTTCAGAAATGTTTGGCACCAAATTAAAATATTTTATGCAACTTCGTGAATTCTTCATTGCGTCATTCTATGGGTTCTACCATATTTTCAAAACGTGTCCTTGTACTGACCAGTATAACTTTGTGTATTCTTGTGTAGAAAATTGTTGCAGTAATTGGTTCCCTGTTCAATCAGGTTAAATGAAACTTTAAAATTAATGGTAAAATTGGTAAATTTAAGATTGGTAAAATCATGTTAATAATTTCAAAATTAATCTCTCAATATGGGGTGAAACTTGTACTCATCATTGACAAAGGAATCTATAAATACAATTAAAATTGTGGTACTCACGATGGGTCATTAATGACTGTTTTCAATGCATTGAGCAAATCTGCACTAGACATGGTGTTGAAGTCCATTCTGATAGCTGCTCCCTTGGTCTTCATGCGAGCAATGTTATCAGGTTGATCTGCAAACATAGGGATGCCCACCATAGGGATCCCATGATAGATCGCTTCATAGATGCCATTGGTTCCACCATGAGTTATAAAGGCTTTGGTTTTTGGATGACCTAGGATTGGGTGAATTTCAGTAAATTACTAATTATAAGTCTTAGAAACAAAATGAGAGTTGGGCAAGAAAAGCACTCAGGCACTGTATTCTAGATGACAGATTATTATACACATGAAACTGCATTAAAATAGATTTTAGATCTCAGAGAAAGAAGAACTTTAGTTGCTGAAGAGGTAAATAGATACTGGTACGGCATTGTGACTTGAAAAATGAATACAAGATTGCTGGGTAGACAAGTTGAAAGAGAACGTTCTGCGAGGGGCGGGTGCTGGGGGAGGGGGTCAATGGGGAAAAAAGGGACGTCTGTAATACTTTCAACAATAAAGATAAATTTGAAAAAAAGAAAGAGAACATCATGGATAAAAAATAGCATGTGCAGAAAAAAAAAGAAAAAAAGAAAAGGAGGTGGCATGTTAGAACATATTCTCTTAAAGAAATAGTGTAGCCTCCGAGTATTACGTGTGGGGTGTCCAGGCAGCAGGAAATGTCAGTGTGGTGACTCTGGAATCAGAGGAAGAACAGACCACACTTTTTCACTTCATGAAAAAGATTATGGCTATTTCTTTATTGAAAATGGAGTCACTGGTAATAAATGAGGTGCTCTTATTTTTTAATGGCAATGAATGAATACCCATACAGAAGTGGAAAAAATAGAAATAAGAGGGGAGAAGTAGGAGGCAGAGTGGTAGTTATTGAAAAATTCTTCATGAGAAGTAATTACACCTGAAATAAAGATACTTGATTTCAGACATAAGGAAGGAGATGGTCTATAATAACATATTAGCTTTTATATGTTATCCTTTTTCCCCAGGACTGGCAAACAAATATAAGGAAATTAAGTTGTTTTTTTTTTTGAGTTTTTCTAAAATAAATGTTCAATAAATTTGTTTCTTTTTGAAGTATTATCACTCTCTTTGGAGTTATTGTTATTTTAGTGTTTATTTTTCAGTCTCACCAAGAAGGTCATTCTGGGGGATCCACTTATAGAGCCGAGTATTTGGCCCTAAGGTATCTGGTTTCTTGCCGTCAAATCTCCATAGAACCTGTTAAAATAAAAAAATATTTTATTCCATGAGTTGAACTAAAGGTATAGCATGTTCAGATTATAAAGAAATTAAGAGATAATCTAGTTAAAGCCCTTCATAGACAAATAAGTAAAAGGACAAGGGATTAAAAATGAGAACTATTATAACATTGGTATGATAAAAGTACCCACATTTTATGTGTTTAATTTTAACATTCAATCAAGTATGAATGCAATCATGATGTGGAACACATACAGATATACAAATGAGATCATCAATGATAAATTAAAGTATTTAAAAATTTTAGGCCTGGCCAGCATGGCACAGTGGTTGAACATTGACCCATGAATCAGGAGGTCATGGTTAAATTCCCAGTCAGGGCACATGTCGGGGTTGTGGGTGTGTGGAAGGCAGCCTATTAATGATTCTCTCTCATCATTGTTGTTTCTATCTCTCTCTCCCTCTCCCTTCCTCTCTAAAATCAATAAAAATATATTTTAAAAAATTTAGGTCTAGTCATAATTCTAGTGCAAAAAAAGTAGGTATTTACTGCACATATCTAATCTAACAAAAGAGAAACATTCAAATTGACCATACCTTCACTAAACAAGCCATGCCCACTAGCCAATCAGAGCTACTATATGCAAATTAATCCAACCAAGATGGTGGCTGGAAGCCACGGAGCTGGAGCAACCAGGAGGCTTGGTTGCCCCGGCGATGGAGGAAGCCAAGCTTCCCCACCTGCCCTGGCTGGCTGTTGTCTCGGCTAAAGGCAATAAAGTTTTAATTATAGAAGATAAATAAATCCCAGATACTTGCTTCCAGCCAGCCTCCACTGGCAGCTTGGATGGTTGGAAGCTGTGGCCATCCTGCAAACAGCCATCAGCCCCTCACCCAGGCTGGCCAGGCACTCCAGCAGGACCCCCACCCTCATCCGGGACACTCTTCAGGGCAAACCAGCCAGCCCCCACCCATGCACCAGGCATATAATAAAAGGGTAATATGCAAATTGATCCTAACAGCAGAACTACTGGGAATGACTGGTCACTATGACACACACTGACCCCCAGGGGGCGGATGCTCAATACAGGAACTGCCCCCTGGTGGTCAGTGCACTCCCACAGGGGGAGCTCTGCTCAGCCACAAGCCAGGCTGACGGCTGCCAGCACAGCAGTGAAGCCAGGAGCCTCTCCTGCCTCCTCAGCAGTGCTAATGATGTCCGACTGCAGCTTAGGCCTGGTCCCCGCTGGCAAGTGGACATCCCCTGAGGCTCCTGGGCTGCCAGAAGGATGTCTGACTGCCAGCTTAGACCCATTCTCCGAGGAGCGTGCCTAAGCCAGCAGGTGGTCATCTCCCAAGGGTCCCAGACTGCGAGAGGGCACAGGCCGGGCTG